TAGACTAACAGAGCACTTCAAGTATAGCAGTACTTTAGAAATTTACTGAAAGAATTCTTCTGAACAAACTCTTAGCCTAGCAGTCCATCTACTTTATGCTATATTTCTTGGTATCTTTGGGAGGATATGTTTTAAGGATTAAAAAAGTTCATGGGGAATTATAGACCTCATTGTTGACACAAGTTCCTTGGAAGCATTTTACAATTTTTAATCTATTAGCATCCAGTTATTTCCACACGAAAGTAACTGCACAAAAGACCTTTGTTACATCCAGTTTCTTAAATCAGAAATTCTGTCCAGTTATTTGCTAATTCCAAATACTTAGTTTTAGCACCCTCTTACCCAACTTAATGTGGCGTACCTTTAAATACTCTTGATTACAATAGCTTTGATTTTAAATGAAATGCCTGAAATCTGATCTTTACTGCTTTGTCTGGGCCAAAATACCTTTAGTGGGAGGTTGTTTGACAAAGACTTTGAAGCCATATCTCCTGCAAAGCTATTTTTTTCAGAGGTCACATAAATTGTTCTTTACTCTTCTTGAAGGATTTTGACAAAACCCATATTTAACATTTGAACCAAATCAATACTCCACACCGTTCCCAACCGTTCAACTACTGTTACAGTGGTCTGTTTGACTTAGAATCACTATCCCAGGTTATTGTTTTGAAAATGTGTGAGGATGGCATTATCCAAGGTCAGCAAAATTATGGTTTGGGCTAAAGCAGAAACAATTCTTGATATAAATGGCATAAAGGGAGGCAAGTTTGCAGTGGCTCACCCACCTGTAATCCTAGCACTTTGGGAGGTCGGGCAGGAGGATTACTTGAGGTCAAAGAGTTTGGAGATATTAATAGGGCATATAGTGGACTACTAAAAACAGAGTCAGTTGTTTACAAAAATGTGATAAGTTCTGGAAGTCACTTAATAAGGGGAAGGTGGAGAATTTGAGGGAGTGGAATGAATATTATAGTGACCAGTTTTCAATTTTTATATGTTCAAGCTATATCCATTTATTTCTCTCAAAATTGTCCTCTTTTGTATATAGTGATAAAAAACACAGCTAGTTTAAAAAGTTATATTCTTAGGTAATTTATTTCATATTGATTTAGGTCTCCTATTAACAAATACTAACATATACACCTCCTTCAATTTTAAAAGGAAACATCTGTAATGGAATAATACTATCCTACTCACTGAAGAATTCGTATTTCAGTACTTTGGGCAATTTATAAGATTCCAAAGTAGAAACATTCGAGTCTTAAAAATGTGACAAATTAAAAATTTGCCTTTATATCAATCTCACAGGTTTTTTCTGGGCCTTTTATCCTTTTTTCTTTGAAAATGAATTTGAAATATTGTTATAAATAGTGACTTTTGATGATATATGTTAATTTATATCTGAGTCATGTTTCAGATAAATAGGTCTTTAATATGGAATGTACATAATTATTAATGAAAAGGGATTTATTATGTCTCTTTAGTGATATTATTAATGGAAGAAGTATTTATTTGCATCCTTAACTTTAATGTAATTGACATATTCATTATTTTAAGGAGCTGACAAACTATAACCATAGGCCAAATATAACTTGCCTTCTATTTTACTAAATAAAGTTTTATTAGAATACAGCTATTCCTGCCTCATCCTACAATGGCAAAGGTTGAGTAGGTGGAACAGATGATAATCTGATCCACAAAGCCTAGAAATATTTACTAGCTGACCTTTTATAATAAAATATTTTAACCTTGCTTTAAAATCTTTCTCTGGAACATAGGGGCATAAAAACTGGCCCGGGCTTATTCTTTTGAGGAAATGGATGAGGTTTTGTTCTTCATTATGTAATGCTGGATTAATTATAAAAAGTTGTTTTCTTTAGTGGTAATCTTTCTAAAAGTCACCTTCAGTTACGATTTTCAGAAAAGGCAGGAAATATATTAAACACTAGTTTAGTATAGTTTATATTTAAAATTGTTAAATATAGCCCAATGTTGTCCTTAATACACTCAGTGATCTCAAAGGTCGGTTTAATAAAACTCCGTGTCTCAACCACCTTATCTTATAGTGGTCAAATCATTTTATAGGATGACAGACAGACAGACAGATAGGACATGCACACATCATTACACATTACCCCTACCATCCATTTTCCCTATCTACAATGAACTATAAGGTAGTGAGCACTGTATTCATGCTTCTTACTCCTTATATATTGACATCCCACTAAAGCACACATCGCCCCCACAAATGAAATACTTAATTTAAAACTTGAACCAAAAACAGTGATCTCCATTGAAGTATTTAATTTCAAGACAGAAAAAAAATATATAATGCTTCCATATTCTTCATTTAGATTCACAAGCTTCCCGTATGAATTTACTTCTAATCTTTTGAGTTCTGTTCAAATGTGGAATATCTAAAATGCTGTTGAATTTAAGGTCGTTTTGAGTTCCATAATGAAAAGGTTTGAACACTGTTCTCGGAGGAACACTTCCTGGCAGGTTTCCAAAAAGAAGAATATGTGTATGGCTGGGAGATTAGAAATTCTGATTGCATAGGTTTTCATCATTCTGTGGGATTAGGCTTGTTGTCAGTGCTATGTCAAAAAGAGTGACAGATCTGTATCCACAACTTTCCTGAAAGCTTAAAATGGAACGAGCTATATACTTTTAACACAGTAATATGTTTATTTGGTTTGTATTCAGATACAAGGGCAATTTTAAAGCCATTGTTTTTTTTTACCATTTTGCATTCTATCCATAGTTAAAAATGCATGGCACTTTTATTTTATTATTCACTTAAGTACACATTGGGCTACTTTCAATTTTATTTAGGACATGGCAAGGATAAATAAGAACACCGGGGTTTTTGTTTTTGTTTTTTTCTCTTCTTGGTGAAACTGGATATGGTTGTTGTGGGTTTTAAAAAGGACACATTTTTAGTAGATCAATTGGAAAGTTGGGCAAGATATGACAATGCAATGGTTTCTGTGTTCTGTCGTTAATTTTAGGGAGCCTAAAACTGAAACCACCATATTCCTTGAATTTTCCCAAATGATCAGAAATAATATATGTGTGTGTTGTGTGTGTGTGTGTGTATATATATATATATATACGATAATATATTATATAACCATCTTGTTTAACACATTGTAAACAAGGTATGGTTTCTTTATGGCTACATCATATCACACAATTAATTCTATCCCATTTTATTTCCAGTATGGGTAGAGAGATTAAATGAGGGAAACAGTTAGAGAATAAATTATGTTGTCCAATTAGGTATTTCATTGTCCTCTCTTATTTCCTAAATTAAACTTGATCTTTCAAATCTGATATACAGTTGACTATTAAGGGTCCAATTATCAAAAGCGAAGAGGCAGGAATGGGTAAAGATTGTTATAATTGTTTTTATGAGTATCTTGGGATTGTTCACATTGTCTTATCTTTACCACACAAGACAATAAAATAGAGGGAGAATCATTGCCTTTGGCACTTATGAAAAAAACAGAATGAACAATACTAAATGCAGCCTTTGTGTAAAATTCCCACCAAAACGTTGAATTTTTATACTCATACCGGCAACTTCCAACTTCAAGTCATGAATCACCCAAACAGTTATGGGGCATTATTTTTTGCTCTTAATCTTTAATTACATACCTCCCCTCTTACAAGGAATCAATTTTTAAGTCCAATGTCTTCCTTTTGAGCTTTTCCTAGCAAAGTTAATTTTCTTTTTTAAAATCTAAAATGGCTTCTCAATTCATCTTTGCCCAATTCCAACTTGTCTCATGATTAGACTAGGAGGGTGGACAAGCGAAATAATCTCTAAATCAAATAGCAATACATTTTATCTCATCCTTTATCTCTGCTCTGGGACCATTAATAAAATTATTTGTTATATGTTAAAATGTAATGATACATAAAGAATTCATTTCATGATAAATGAACTTATGGAATACAGATCCATAACTTATTTTGAGTGCATAAGTTAAGGATCAGTTGTAATGCAGTGAAATCAATTATGGTAATATTTCACTTGGTTGCAGTAATGGCTGAGGGGAATTAGAAGAGATCCATCTGTAACAAATTATTAAAACTGTTAGAGCTAAAAATGATACATCGGACACCATACTATGTAATTAAAAAAGTTTGACATTTCTTGCTCTTTACTTAACTTAAATTATATTGGATATTTGAAATGGTGAGCTTTTAATGCAATTTAGAAATTTTTTTGTATAAATTTCTTTGTATGACATTTGTTCATTTTTATTTCCAAAAGATATGATACATATAATAGTGGGTAAAATTTGTCTTAGGCCAGCTATGGTGGCTTCATGCCTGTACATCCCAACACTTTGAGAGTTTTTAGGTGGGAGATTACTTTGAGGTCAGGAGTTCAAGACCAGCCTGAGCAAGAGTAAGGACGCCTTGTCCCTACAAAAAATAGGAAAAATACCTCACGCCTGTAATCCTAGCTCTCTGGGGAGGCCGAGGCGGGATTGCTCGAGGTCAGGAGTTTTGAAACCAGCCTGAGCAAGAGCGAGACCCCGTCTCTACTATAAAATAGAAAGAAATTAATTGGGCCAACTTAAATATTATATATACAAAAAATTAGCCTGGTCATGTTGGCGAATGCCTGGTATCCCAGCTTTACTCGGGGAAGGCTGAGGCAGGAGGATTGCTTGAGCCAGGAGCTTTGAGTGTTGCTATGGAGCTAGGCTGACGCCATGGCACTCACCCAAATCTATGCTGGGGGACAACAAAGCGAGACTCTGTCTCAAAAAAAAAAAAAAAAAAAAAAAAAAAAATAGAAAAATAAGCCAGGCTTGGTGGCATGTGCTATAGTCCTAAGGGATGGAAAAGATAAGTAAAGCCAAATTTATTAAGCCCCTACTGAATGCCAGGTAACATGAACTTTTACATTTGTCCCACACAATTTAAGCTAAATTACAGCTGTTCTTTTCAACTTTCCTTTTCGCCTGGTATGACCCTCATTTCTGTCTCCAATCTAACCTGCACAGATCCTCATGCTAGTTCTTGAATACTCCACACCTGCTCATGTCTCTGCCTAAAATTCCCCTCCCTGGTTCTGTGTGTCTTCATTCCTCAGTTCCGGTCAGGCCCCTCATCAAGGGTTACCCCTCCCGCTCCCCAGCCCCTCGCCCTGCTTGGTTTTCCTTGGGGTACTTACCGCAAGCTGCTGTGTGTGGGGCTGCGCTCTGTCCCCACTGGGGTGTCAGTTCCATGGTTGTCCCCCTTGAAACCTGGGTACCTGGAACATTTTCCAGCATATGTTAAATGCTCAACAGACATCTGTTGAATGAATGCATGACTGTTTGGGCTGTGTTGGATTATTTGTACAGAGGCCGGGGAATTTCTTAGTTTATAGATGGTCCCACATTTTCCCCCTCCCTCTGGCTGAGCAAAAAAAGAAACAGAAATAAAGCTCAGACCAACCTAGGCCACTCCTGATTGGAAAGTCAGGGAAAACTAATTTGGGTGGAGGGAGAAAGGCCTCCCAGTTAACTTGATGTTTTGTTCCCAGTGTCCGATTAACCAGGCGACTGGTGCTGTCACTAGGGCTCTCGCAGGTCCTTGCCCACGGAGGCCTGTCTAACGTGTCTGGGGACTTCCTTCCATGGAACGATGGCTGGAGCTGCCTGTGACAGCAGAGTGGGGGGCTACGGGGGACGTGGGTCTACTAAGACCCCACCCACCCTGTCTTCTGGTCTTCACATTGCACAGGAGGGGTGGGTGCAGCAAAATCAGAGTCTTCTCATTCCCCTGATGCATTTGTGCACACCAGCTGTCTTAGTAGACAGACCCAGAGGTCCTGGGAATGTTAATGTTGTTCTGAGATTTTCAGAAGTCTTTTGGCAAAAATGCTCCAAGATGAAAAAAGAAAACCTGTCTGGGGACAGGCCCGGACTGCTCCCCACCCTATAGCTGACCTTACTGTGGACACGAGTGGAGCCGGCCCTGGGCGACTCTGAGTGGCAGCCCAAGTTCATCTTCTGCTTCCGACCTCTTCCCTGCCAGGTGCCAACCCCGGACCTGGGCTCCTGCCACTCCTCAGCAGCTCTGAGCCCTGGTGGGCCCAGGCGGGAGGGAGGGTGGGGCCAGAGCAGGCCAGGGAGGAGAGCCACTGGGGGGTTCTCCAGCCCCCCATGCAGCGTGAGCTGACCTGTGTAGGGCGGGGCGGCCCTGCCTGCGGGAGTCCTGTGTGCGGGCGCTGCCCTCCACACGCAGTGGCGCTTTCTGATAAGGATCCGCCATGGCTTAAATCTCTCCCTGGAGCGGCGTTGTCTGCCACGCACGGCCCTGACACAAAGCAGTGGTGCTGAGGGTAAGGCGTTCTGACCAGGTGCCTCTTCCCTCTGTGGTTTAGGGGAAATACGTGGTCTGCTTCGACCCACTGGACGGATCTTCCAACATTGACTGCCTGGCCTCCATCGGAACCATATTCGCCATCTACAGAAAGGTGAGTAGACAGGCTGGCATTCACGCCTCCTTCCTGTGGTGGTTTCTGGAAGGTTCCTGTGCCGAGAGCCTTGAGTTTGGAGTTCTAACCTCTCTGCTCCCACTAACTAGAAACACCACTGTAGGCAAACCATGAACTTCCCTCTGTCTCTCCTCCTTAGTGGAAGAACTGAATTGGGAATTCTCTCTTTTCCACTTCCCAGCATCCCTGGGAGGGTGAAGTGGAGGGATTGGCAGGACCTTGCTTTGAAAGCCTGGATGCCACGCAAACGTCGGACATGGTGTTAGGTTCCAGGTGGCAACTGGAGACTCTGTTTCTTCTTTGCACATCTCAGCTCCCACTGTACGAGTTTTCTGTTGCTGCTGTAACAACCTTCCAATGTTTGGAGGCTTAAAACAACGCTCCTGTTGACTGTCTCCCACTTCTGGTGGCAGAGGGTTGAGGAGGGCTTGGCTGGCTTCTCTGCTTATGGGTCTCATAGGGGTGAAAATCAAGGTGACATGCCATGCCACTTGTCGTTGCTCAAGAGGCCTCCTAGGAGAATTTGTACCCAGCTCCTTTAGCAGCTGTGGCAGCAATTCAGTTGCAATCTGAGGGTAGCGTCAAGGTCCTCATTTCTCTTGCTGTCTGTTTGCTGAGGGTCCTCTTAGGCCTCTAGGGGCTGCCCTGTGTTCTAATGTTTGTGAGCCTTCATTTTCAAGCCAGATAAAGTTCTGGTAAATGGTTCAAATCACTCTGACACTCCACCCCCCCTCTTACGTTTATGTCTCATGGTTCACTGCCTTTAGCCAACAGAAAGTCTTTGCTGTTTAAAGGCCTCACTTGATTTAGACGTAGGGACCGAATCCAATCTGGGATAATCCAGCCGGCTAAATCCTCCCTATTTTAACCATGACCCTGATCGTTGCCATCTGCAAAGTTCCTTTGCTGCTGTGAGCCTGCTCCAAAGCGCAGCAGATTCTGGGGCTGTAGGGAAGCTTGTGGGCCATTTTGTCTACCCTAAAAGCCTAACAGGAGAGAAGATCTTATGGTCTGGTTTGTGACCATCCAGTGTGACTAGACACTTCACGACAGACCACACAGTCCAGATGACATGGCTTGGCTGCGCCTGGGTTTGGGGATCAGACTTTGATCCTATCAGGATAGGCCTTTGCCCTTGGGTCTTTCAGGCAGAAGGAGACCAGAGGTGCTTGGGGGTCTCTTGGGATGTTCCTCGGTAACCTGTGCTCAGGTAAGTGCTGGGCTGGCTCTAGAGACTCAGGTCTCTGGCCCCAAAGCACGTGCTTTCCCCACTCAGCTACTTAGGACAACAGGAGCGAGGCCGCGCTCATTTTCTATACTACTGATTTGCACTGATGACGTCATGTCGTGTAATTAACTTTCCAGGCGTGTCTTTCTTCGTGCTCCTTCTACGTTATAAACTCAGCGGAGGGCTGGGCCTGCCCCGTATCACCTGGTTAATGTGTTGTCCGCAGGCATCCATAGTGCCGCGCATGTGTGCCGGCCTGATGGCTGTCCCAAAAGGGGGTGCGATAGAACGTGAATTTTAGGGGCATCCCATGAAAAACTTAACAGACAACAACCTCAGAAGAACATGTGAATCAGCATAAACTCTCTGAGAAGGAACCCAAGGAAGCCGGGAGTGTTATTCATGCCTCTCTTGGAGGAAGAAATGGAAGCCAAGCCAGCCTCGGCTAGAGGAAACCTCGGGACGTTTTGCTTTCCCTGTTGGTGTCTCTTCTTTTGTGGGTGAAGAGAGAAAAGGAGACTCTGGCTGAGGGAGAAGAGAATGACAGGCGACGCTTTCTCTGGTATCTGACAAAGTTGAAGGCTAAGATGTCTCAAGTTAAGCAGAAATGAGCGAGGTGAGGGAGGGAGCTTTGCTTCGCCTTTTGAGGTTCAGTTTAGAGGTAAAGGAAAGGAATAGTGTAGCATTTATGCAAATCTGCAAAAAGACACCCAGCTGTATCTTTGAAGTAGATTTATTTATTTTGTAAATTTTTTCTTTTTAATTATTATGGGTACATCATAGTTGTGTATCTTCATAGGGTACGTGTGGTGTTTTGATACAAGCATACAATAAGAATTAATCAAATCAGGGTAATTGGGGTATCCATCACCTAAGGCATTTATCACTTCTTTGTGTTAGAAACAGTGCAATTCCACCCTTTGAGTTATTTTAAATTATACCCTAACCCATTGTTGATCATAGTCATTTTGTTGTGATATCCAACATTGTTCATTCTAACTACATTTTTGCACCCACTAACCATCCTCAATTTATCCCCCTCCAACCTTCCCAGCCTCTCGTATCTGTCATTGTACTTGATCTCCATGAGATGAATTATTTTTAAAATTTAGCTCCCACATATGAATGAGAACATGTGAGGTTTGTCTTTCCGTGCTTGGCTTATTTCACTTAACATAAGGTTCTACGGTTCCATCCTTATTGTGTCAAATGGCAGGATTTCATTCTTTTTGTGGAATATGATATTCCATTGTGTATATGTACCACCATTTCTTTATCCATTCATTTGTTGATGAACACTTAGGATGATTCCATACCTTGGCTATCGTGAATAGTGCTGCAATGAACATGGGAGTGCAGATATTTTTCCATATACTGAACTCCCCTTCTTTGGATATGTACCCAGCAGTTGGATTGCTGGAGCATATGCTAGTTCTATTTTTAGTTTTTTGAGGAATCTCCATAATGTTCTCTACAGTCATTGCACTAATTTGCATTCCCACTAACAGTGTACAGGGGTTCCCCTTTCTTCACATCTTCATAAGTATTAATTATTGCCCGTCTTTTTGATAAAAGCTATTTTAACTGGGGTGAGATGATATCTTATTGTGGTTTTCATTTGCATTTCTCAGATGAATGATTTTGAGTATTTTTTCATATACCTGTTGGCCATTTATATGTCTTCTTTCGAGAAATGTCTATTCAGATCCTTTGCCCATTTTTTAGTCAGATAATTTGATTTTTTTCCTCTTGAGTTGTTGGAGCTCCTTTATATATTCCAGTTATTAATCCCTTGTCAGACAGGTAGTTTGAAAATATCTTCTGCCATTCTGTGGGTTGTCTCTTTGCTTTGTTGATTGTTCTCTTTGCTGTGCAGAAGCTTTGTAGCTTGATGTGATCCCGTTTGTCCAATTTTGCTTTGGTTGCTTGTGCTTTATGGGGTATAACTCAAGAAGTCCTTGCCCAGACGAATGTTCTGAAGCACTTCCCCAACATTTTCTTTTAGTGGTTTCATAGTTTCAGGTCTTAGATTTAAGTTTTTAACGCATTTTGATTTGATTTTTGTATATGATGAGAAATAGGGGTCTAGTTTCATTCTTCTGCATGTGGATATCCAGTTTTCCCAGCACCATTAATTGAATAGACTGCCCTTTCCCCACTGAATGTTCTTGGTAACTTTGTTGAAGATAAGATCCCTATAGTGTGTGCATTTATTTCTGGGTTCTATATTCTGTTCCGTTGGTCTATGTGTCCATTTTTATGCTAGTACCAGGCTATTTTGGTTGCGACAGCTCTGTAGTATAATTTGAAGTCAGGTAATATGATTCCTCCAGTTTTTCTCTTTTTCCTCAGGATGGCATTGAGTATTCTGAGTCCTTTGAAGTTCCATATAAATTTTAGAATTATATTTTCTATTTCTTTGAGGAATGTCATGCGTATTTTTTTTATCTCAGCATATTACAGGGGTACAAATGTTTAGGTTACATATATAGCCTTTGCCCCACCCAAGTTAGGGCTTTAAGTGTGTCCATCCCCCAGACTGTGTGCACCACATCCATTAGGTGTGAATATACCCATCCCCTCCTCCCCATTCTCATCTGCCTGACACCTGATGAATGTTATTACTATCTGTGCACATAAGTGTTGATCAGTTAATACCAATTTGATGGTAAGTACATTGTGGTGCTTGTTTTTCCATTTTGGGGATACTTTACTTAGTAGAATGGGCTCCAGCTCTATCCAGGATAGTACAAGAGGTGCTATATCACCGTTGTTTTTTATGGTTGAGTGGAACTCCATGGTATACATATACCACATTTTATTAATCCACTCATGAATTGACGTGCACTTGGGTTGTTTCCACATCTTTGCAATTGTGAATTGTGTTGCTATAACCATTCTAGTGCATGTATCTTTTTTATAGAATGTCTTTTTCTCCTTTGGGTAGATGCCCAGTAAGGGGATTGCTGGATCAAATGGTAGATCCACTTGTATCTCTTTGAGGTATCTCCATATTACTTTCCACAGAGGTCGTACTAGTTTGCAGTCCCACCAGCAGTATTCTTATCTCTCTGTATCCACAGCAACATTTTTCTGTTTTGAGACTTTTTGATAAATGACATTCTCACTGGAGGTAAGTTATATCTCATTGCAGTTTTGATTTGTATTTTCCTGATGATTAGAGATGTTGAGCATTTTTTCATATGTTTCTTGGCCATTAGCCTATTTTCTTTTGAAAAGTTTCTGTTCATGTTCTTTGCCCACTTTTTGATAGGGTTGTTTGATTTTTTTTCCTTGCTGATTTTCCAAGTTCTGTATAGATTCTACTTATTAGCCCTTTATCTGATGTGTAGCAGGTGAATATTTTCTCCCATTCTGTAGGTTGTCTGTTTGCTGTAGTGATAGTTTCTTTGACTGTGCAGAAGGTTTTTAATTTGATCAGGTCCCTTTTATTTATTTTTATTGTTTCTGTGATTGCCTTTGGGGTCTTCTTCATAAATTACTTGACTAGGCCAATGTCTATAAGAGTTTTTCCAACATTTTCTTCTGGAATTCTTATAGTTTCATACCTTAGGCTTAAGTCTGTTATCAACCGTGAGTTGATTTTGTGAGAGGTGAAAGGTGAGGATCCTGTTTCAAACTTTTACATGTGACTATCCAATTTTCTTAGCACCATTTGTTGAATAAGGATTCTTTTCCCCAGTGTATGTTTTTGCCTGCTTTGTCAAAGATCAGATGGCTATATGAGAAT